ATACTGAGTACGTGGCCTCTCCTCTCCAGGCTGCCTTGTCTCCTTTCCAAGCACTTTAATGGGGCTCTGAACGAGGTGAAGCTGGGAAAGGAAGGCAGTGCCAGTCCCAGATTCCTTGAACCTCCAAAGATACATGGGAATCTGGAAGTATGAGTATTGTAGGAAGGCACTGCTCCCTGGGCAGAAGGACAATATGGCATTCCCTCCCTAGTCCACTCGGCAGCTGAATCTTACTTCCACAAAGGGCAAAGTTGTGTGGTACACAAAACTCTGTCCACTAGCACCTCATCAGTGGACTAATCTACAGTGGTCAATTTAAACGTTAAAAATGCATTATAAAATGTGACACCAGAGGGAGCTGTAGAGCAGTGATCTGTCGTCAATGTAAAATTGCATTGAGAGCTTTTCTCCGCTTCTCAATAGCGTTTTCCAGATCAGTGTAGATCCAGCCCGTGTCTGCCTGACTTCTGGCATTTGCTGCCTGAGGTGGCTGCTTCATTTTGCCTAATGGTAGGGCTGGTTCTGGAGTCTTCTCTGGCCCTAGGAATTTATGGATGCTGCTGTCTCTGGGGAAGTAAAAGAGATCCTCACTCCCCAGATGAAGAGAAGTAATGAGTTGGAGCAGCCCCGAGTAGTAGTAGTAGTAGTAGTAGTAATAATAATAATAATAATAATTTTTATTTATACCCCGCCCTCCCCAGCCAAGGTCGGGCTCAGGGCGGCTGAGTAGTAGCAGCAGCATTATTACAGTTTATTACCTGCCCTTCCCACGAAGGTCCCAACAATTAAAACACAGCAAAAATATTAAAACACAACAATTCTCAATGTTAAGAACAACTTCAAATTACAATAATAAGGTGGGTCCTAAAAATATATGTCTTGGGTACCAAAAGCCAAGGCGAACAGGTGTCTCCTCAGCATTCACCCAAATCTGTACAATGAAGGTGCCAGACACACCTCAGTGGGGAGTTCCACAACTTAGGGGCCGCCACAGAGAATGCCCCCTCTCAGGCCACCATCGCCATTGCTTAGGAGGACAGTGGAATAACCAAGAGGGCTCTTTTCACCAATCTTAGCACCTGAGAGCTGCTGCAAGGAAGGAAGCGCTCTTTCAGGTATTTGGGGGGGCCTGACATGTTTAGGGCTTTATTCCGACCTTATTTGCACTAAACTACAACTGAGGGGCACCTCATATAGCAACAAACCTAGGTTTGCCGCCATATACACACCCAACTGGCAGCACAGCTCAGCTGAGCTCTCAAATAAGTATACCAGTATGACATCCATGTTTGCAAACACAGGTTTGTTGCGCTCATAATTCCCTCCCCAGTCCAGTCAGCAGCTGAATCTTACTTCCACAAAGGGCAAAGTTGTGTGGTACACAAAACTCTGTCCACTAGCACCTCATCAGTGGACTAATCTACAGTGGTCAATTAAAACGTTTGCAAACACAGGTTTGTTGCGCTCATAATTCATATTGCTAGGTGCACAACTGAGGCTATGTTTTACTTCCAAGCAGTACCACTTCAGGTAAGGGCTTGCATACAGAGAAGCAAAGAAAATAATAAAACCATGCAAGAAGCAAGAAGCGTTTGAGGTGATTTTCTATGTGGTCCTGGCTTTTCTCTTTCATTTTTGGAGGGCTATTCCAACTATGTGAGCCCTCCGCTGCAGCCTGAAGTGGTACAGCTTTGCCATGTAAATTGGCACCATCTTTGATGCTCCCCCCCCAAGTCTCAAAATATTTTTTTCTTGCATCTCTAGCTGTTCCTGTACTTTTAATGTCCTATAAGGAATTTTTATTGTATTTACCATTCTAAACTGTACCCTGCCTTTGAAGGCTTGAACTCAGTGACAGCTGATCAAACAAGAAAGCAAATAAATAAAATAACAGTAAACTTATGGTTTAGACTGCAATCCTATACCCACTCCTGGGAGTAAGCCCCATGTAAATTACTCCCAAGTGCATTGGGGCTTACTTCTGAATAGACAGATATAGGATTGTATATGGAAGGTGCAATACCCAGAATAAGAACAACAGGGCTAGACATTACTAGACATTCTGAGGCCTTTGAGATGCCTCTACCATGTATATTTTAGTACTGAGGCTTCTCTAAGCCTGAATTGTGACACTGGTCCAGCTTGCACATAATGTTAAACCATAGTTCATATTTCACGTTGACGGTTTGGCTTTACAGCAACACACGGGCTCGAGTTTGCATGTAATTACAAGCTGTGGTTTGTTGCTTGTTGGTCCCAGATATTTAAACCTTGGTTTAAAATCGCATGCAAACTGGGCCATTTTAAGCATTGGTTGCTAGTATGCTTCACCGCAGGTGCTTTTCATCCATGCTAACTTCATGCCATTCCTAAAGATGGTTGAAGGAGACTGTTTAGAAATTGAGAGGTTAGGTCAAAAAAGAAACGCATCATTAGTACTTAACCTATGATAATATAAATATGTTACCTACTTACTTAGGTATCCTTGCGATTCTTTCTGCATGGCTGTTATTGGACAGTCTTTGTGTGTTAACAATAACTGTTTCAGCTGTGCTACCTCGTTTTTCAACATGGAAACCTCATTCTGGAAGGAGAGAAGAGATTTTTTACTTTAATAAATGTATACATCTTAAGAGGAGACAACTTTGCATGCTTTTCATTGTCATAAATATAGTAGGCTTGCATACAGTTTGAATCTTCATGCAATTATTTTTTCATTGTAGATATACTGGAACAAAATCCATATCCTGCCATATGCCTTAAAGTCTACTGTGTATCTGCCGTCTCATTTTATTTTTTAAAAAACCAGTCTTAATAGGATTATTGCTCTAGAGCACGACAACCACAGCAAATGAGGCAGCTCTGCTGCTCATTAGGACTGTGCTTTAGGATCCCAGCGTCAGATTGCTGCTTTGTGTCCATTTAAAAAAAAACATTAAATTAAATTCTACATGTTTAGCAGTGGATTGACAATGAAGTAACCATTTTAAAAAAACAAACAAACCCAATTCTGACAAATGTAGCATGGTGTAGTGGTTAGAGAGGCCAGGATTTGAACCCTCACTTGGCCATGAAGTTCATTGGGTGTGACCTTAGGCCAGTCCCTCAGCCTAACCTACCTCACAGGTTTGTTGTGGGTATTTCCCCTTTGGGGAAAGGGTGAGATCTAAATACAGTAAATGAATAAATGAATGGATGGATGGATGGATGGATGGATGGATGGATGGATGGATAAATAAATAAATAAATAAATAAATAAATAAATAAATGGGCTCTCGTGTATACACAGTGCTCCCTTCCTCTCCCTCTCATGTAAATGAGCTCTGTGTGCATATTACAGTATACAAGCAACTCAGGATTGGGACAAATATCCTTTGAAAACGAGGCCCAATATTGCAGAAGACTTTAGATACAAATAAATGGATTGAAGCCTCGTGTTTTGCCTCGTCACAGAAGGGGTTATTTCATTCAAGGAGCAAAAATGTTATCAAAACTTAAACTCGTAACTGTTTTAAAAAGAGAACTACAATGACTCTATTGGCTTGCCTGAAAAAATATCTCTTCTGCAGTATTGGCTAGGCTAGCAAGGTCAGACGGAATGAATCAGAGATGGAAATAAAACGCAGAAATGACTGCTGTGACGAAAATCATCCCCATAATCCATACAGACTATATTCATCCAATTCAGAAAAGACAGTTGCGAATCGGACGTGCTTGTCTCTAGCTTGCACATGCATACGTACGATGTAGCATTAAACACATGCTTACAGTTGAAGTTTAATTCACTCATCGCACCAGTTTTTATATTATATAAAAGGTTCGGCTTGTCACCAAACTACAGTGGTGCCCCGCAAGACGAATGCCTCGCAAGACGGAAAACTCGCTAGACGAAAGAGTTTTCCGTTTTGGAGGTGCTTCGTAAAACGAATCTCCTATGGGCTTGCTTCGCAAGACGAAAATGTCTTGCGAGTTCCTGCGTGTTTTTTTTCCTCCCCCCCCTTTTTCTAAGCCGCTAAGCCGCTTATCTGCTTATCCGATAAGCTGATAAGCCGCTAAAAGCCGCTAAAAGCCGCTAAAAGCCGCTAAAAGCCGCTAATAGCGCTAATCCGCTAATCCGTCAATGGGCTTGCTTCGCAAGACGAAAAAACCGCTAGACGAAGAGACTCCCAGAACGGATTCTTTTCGTCTTGCGAGGCACCACTGTACTGCCATTTGGTATGCACTGATCCCAGTTGGTGTCAATAAATTTAACAGATAGATTTTCTGCTTCACTTTTTTTTAAAAATAAAACGAATCATTTCAACTCCAGCAGAACATTTCTGACTATCACATTCATCTTCATTAGTAAGAAATCCTGTAACAAAGGGAAATCTTATCTTTTCTCTTTCATATTGAGCTGCAGCACATTGATTACAATGTGTAGATCACATTGTCTAGATTACAATGTCCTACAGTGGAACTGGGACCATATAGAAGACAAAGAGACAGAGACAGGGGGAACCCTTTTTCTTATGGGCAAGTTGCAATCCACCTGGAAATTATCCTTTGTATATTATCATCTTATAATGAGTTGCATTCATTCTGATGTGATTTGCACGCAAGAATTTCCCATTCTGTGCCCACTGATTGCGCACAGTCCTCACTGAACCCTTCTGGTATTCCCTGCCCACCTTACAGCCCCCCCCCCGATCCTTCTGGGCTTACCCCATCTTCCTGATTCCTTCTCTTGTATGTGGGCGGTGCCATTTTGGCTACATAAGGATTGGCATATTGCGAATTAATTTGCTTAAGACACAAGGTTGTCTTAAGATGTCACTTGTGTGCAGTGAGAAAAACGATCAGTGCAGAGTTTAGTCCACTTCAGACCATGGCTCTGTACTTAAAATGGAGGGTGAAGATCATTCGTTCCCTTTTGCTGTCTGGTAGTACGAAGGAGAAAGGCCCAGGCCAGATGAGAAAGGCTTCCTATCTCTGTGCACATCACTCATCTATTCTATACCTGAACAAAGATGCAATGAACAAAAGGTGTTGTTTCATGCTGTTGGCTCAGAATGTCTTTATATGTGAGCCTGCTTTCAAATCTCGACACTCTTCTTGGGGTGTGTGTGTGTGTGTGTGTGTGTGTGTGTGTGTAGACTGATAGATAGATACAGAGATAAAGGTAAAGGTAAAGGGACCCCTGACCATTAGGTCCAGTTGTGACCGACTCTGGGGTTGCAGCGCTCATCTCGCTTTATTGGCCAAGGGAGCCGGCGTACAGCTTCCGGATCATGTGGCCAGCATGACTAAGCCACTTCTGGCAAATCAGAGCAGTGCACGGAAACGCCGTTTACCTTCCTGCCGGAGAGGTACCTATTTATCTACTTGCACTTTGACGTGCTTTCAAACTGCTAGGTTGGCAGGAGCAGGGACTGAGCAATGGGAGCTCACCCTGTCACGGGGATTTGAACCGCTGACGTTCTGATCGGCAAGTCCTGGGCTCTGTGGTTTAACCCACAGCGCCACCCGCGTCCCTAGATACAGAGATGATAGATAGATATATAGATAGATGATAGATAGATATTGTTCAGATTCTCTGTGTTTGCGCTAGTAGCCTAAAGTGTAGCAGCACCAGTTTAAGTCAAGAAGGTCTTGCTGGTGCAGCAGTGACCCAAGATGCAAACAGTGCCTCTCTGTGTCCTAGGCATGTCCTAGACAGCAGCCCGCACCTGAAGTTGCATGTTTGTCTGGGTGAGTTCTTCTGCTTTCTTTTCCAGTGACATCACCCAGACCTTCCTCTTCTGTCTGCAGCGTGTGGCAGCTGCTCGGTTTCGTTCCAGAAATTTCCGCCGCCTCTCATCTGGGTCTTCGTCCACCACTCTCCTTCGGCGCCCCCCAGTGGGCTGAGGCGGCTGTATTGTCTGTGTGGGCTGCATCTGTTGGGCTGCTGCTGATACCTAATGAGAAACATAACTGATCTTAATTAAGTAGCCAGCAAGGGGATGACACCATAGCTGACTGTGGAATAATAGTAATAATAATAATAAAGATCAACTGTAATAATAAAAAAAATACGACCGGGATATGTTCTTTGAATACAGACATTTTGGCAAGATATGAGAGTGGCAGAAGTTCAAAGACTCTACCAGATGCCCTTAAATTACTCTTCGACTAACAGCCTGCATGGACCAGGAAGATGTTTTGGAAAATGGCCTTTTTGAATTGCAGCAGAGAGGATGTTTTATTTTATTTTATTTTGCTCCACCGTATTAAAAAAATGTTTCATTTCATTTCAAGAACAGTTTTTTTTTAAAAGCCAGTCAGTTCAAATGTGAAACATCTAAATCACACCAGTGACTTGCATTAATCATGAAACAGAAGGAGCCTTGGGACCCTTAATTTTGTTCCTAATTTAAAGGCGTGCATTTTCCTTTGCACTGCATGTCTTGTTTACACAGATAGCTATCCTGAGGTAACAACCCATTAATTTGCTGTGCTTTGGATTTATGAGGAATAAATAAATCTTAAGATGGAAGCAGGCTTTGAACCAAGTGGGCAATTAAGGGGTGTCCTATTATCCCCCTTTTCCATTTTCTTGGGGAAACTGAGGTGATTCACTGATGAGTTTATGGGAACTAAAAAGAAATTAAGTTCTCAGAACCATTAATGTGACAGTTCTGTGAGGAACTGGAACACCTCATAAGACCCATGATGGATTTCATATTGCTTTCCATCTCAACCCGTTCATGGGTGCTACACCAGGGAGGACAATTCTAGGCCAGTGAGCTAGCTTCGTTGGCTTCCTAGCTTTGCACCAGCACGACATGATCCTTTCAAGTAAGCAATCCCTGCAGAACCTGTCGTGAAGGATTGCTAACACAGGCTGCGCCAAACATTTTTGCCATCTGAGTTTGTGAATGTGCCTAGACTCAAAATTTTTACAGTGACACCACAACAACTTTCAGCTGCTGGTTGGTTTCCAAATAGTAAAAGCCAAATGGCAGCACGCGTAGCAAATCCAAGTTGTTTGACCACGAGTAAGGCAATCACTACTTTCATAATGAAATTACTATTGTATGCCCAAGCACAGGCCCCATGCCATCCATCTCACATTTTAGCCTTCTTCCTGGATTCTGTGAATTGGTCCTCAGTGTCTATCACCCCCATCTTGGCTTGAGAAGTTAATGTTGAGTAATGCCAGATGCCCCTTCCAGCAGGGATATGTATGTTGCCTCTACAGCAACACACCTGAAATGTAAAGGCCTCAAAGGTCTCTTTTAAACTGTCACTCTAACATCAAAAGCCACAAGCAACACCTTCTGAGCCATCAAAGGTTTGTTGTTTACACTGCAGGACACGGACATCTTTGCACAAGCCTTTCTGCCTTCTCCCTTTTTAATTCAAGCTGTAAATTCTGTTTCTACTTCTCAGGTTGGTTCTCTTATACATAACAGCCCTTTCCACTCCTTTAATGTTGTTTTACTTGAGTGAAAATGTGTTCTTTTTCAGCCTCTTGTTCCTCTGTTGCCTGAATAGTCTTAGATGACATGGTGGGACAAACCCTGGTAAAAACAGGGCTCATGTACCTCACTGTTTATGCAGGAAAAGGTAGACCAACTTACACAACATGCAGAAAATGTGGCCAGAACGGTTCTGTCCAAAGTTTGGCATATGCTGGAAGCATACCCTCCAAAACCTTGAAGGCAAAAACCAGGAAACCACCTACCCATTTTTTATGAAAGAGAAGGGTAGCCATTTTGGGTGCTGTGATCTCGCATGATTTCATGCTGGAATTCCTCTCCTGAAAAGCACATTTTGGGGGCACGGAGCCTCCAGACATGTGTTTTTCAAGGCACAAGATTGCGGTCCTGGGGGGGGAAGCATTTTTTTTCTTGAGAGAAATTGTGGTGCAAAATTGCACAAGATCACCGTGCCCAAAATGGCTGCCGTTCTCTCACGAGAAAAAAAATGGGATGTCCCGGCTTTCTTGGGACACTTGCAGGGTATGTGAAATAATCGCTTTATAGCTTACCACAGAAGGGAAGCTCTTGCATCTCAGTCCACATTACACCCCAGCTCATAATGTGTTGCCCGCTGACATGGTAAATGTACTCCATGGTTCATTCAACACATGGATGAGTTCTTTACAGATCTGCCCAACACATATTCTGGGTGCAACAACATGGCTATGCCAATGCCCTTAGAGATGTATATGCTCCAAAGGCTGACAGGAATGTGACACTGTTTGTGCTTATGTGATGACAGAGGATCGTGGAAGTGCATAGACTGAAGGTTTTAGAGCTACTGACTCATTTGAAACACATGAAAGTGTTTGGTTATGTAGATAATGTGGCAGAATCAATTAAAAATGACACAGAATGTTGTCATATATAATTTTTTTGTTAACACATTTCTGACCATGTATAATTCGCAACAAGGGGTAATGTAGGGTTGGGCTTTTGGGGGCAGACCAAAGTTGTTGAGATTTTTTTAGTGATTTTCCTGGACATTTCAGTGATTTCCACCCGGACGCTGTTTGCAAGGGCTGAATACCAGCTATGTCCAGGAAATTACAACCTTGCTGTCTCAAAGTTCTTCTGATTGGAAATTCATCTGACAGAAATTTCAGTATTAAAACCAAACATGTGTGAAATATCTGAATTAGGCCAGCAGGCACAGAGCAGAACAGAAAGGGAACTGCTAAATTGGCTGGGCTTTGCCTTGATCCCTGATCCTGTATGTCTCTCCAATTGTTTATAACCCTACTGCTATATTTTTAGCCGTTCATTTTAGCAACCCCATAATTCATTAGGTTCTGCAGGGCTGTTGAAAACTTTGAAATTTAATACAGGGGCATGGCATAAAATAATCAAAGTTATGGCAAAAGGGGAGCGTAGCTCCTAGCAATTCAGATCGTGCATTGGTTTTGACATGAACCTTGAAACTTAAGTATTTGGTTCAATAGAAAGAGTTGGTTAATAATTAGTAAAGTGTACCATAAGATTAATGTGTCTGCTGAAGCAGTCTGACCCCCCAAAGAGGCCAATACTGAGGGGAATTATAGATGGATTTTGAAAGCAATAACCTTATGTTTATTACTCACTCAAACCATCTTTTATCCCAGTCAATGCCCTCTTCAAAAAGTGTCATTGCTTTTGTGTTCCCTTGAGGAATTCAAACTGTTCTGTTGTCCAGGGAACTACCTGACCTATAGATCTTAAAATCTCCACCCATCCTCCAAGCAGCAACGCACAATGTTTTTTGAACAAATATCTCTTTTACATGTCCTACAGAAATGGAACAATTTCTACTAAAGCCCATGAGACTGCTTTTTGTGGGTTTTGGCAACAGCCGTTATCTGTTGTTTCTTTATCTGTTTAGAAGGAAGGTGTAATTATCTTGGAGTCTGGTAACAATTATTTCTGAATGGGCAGTTGAAGGACTGTACCTGATTCTCCCAAGGCACCAATCCTAAATACATACACCTAGAATTAAACACCATGGAAATGAAATTTAATTCATGGGTGCAAGATGAACTTCCGCATAACTGCTATCTCCTGGCAAAGGCAATCTGCATATGTGAATGTGAACTTTCCTGATCCAAGTTCCATGTGTGCAAAGAGTGTTGCACAGTGTGGGTGGAAAAGCCCTGCATCTAGTTGAGGGCTGCACATGCACAGCTTTTACCTAAATCAGGACTGCATGTACAAACTCTTAGTACTGTTGAGTGTTGCATTGTTGAATACCTCTTCTGAGGAATGGAAGAACTGATTCCAGGCATCTCAATTGTTCCTCTCTGAAAGTATAGATCAGTACTGTCAAAGCTGGTAGTATTCCTTCACCACCATCTCTTTTCATACAAAAGAGCCTCTACTTAAGGGCCAATGTATATATTTTTTAAATCACAAATGACAATTGGCTATGTCCATCTAAATTATTTGTGCACTGCTTCTTTTGTTAGTTAGTGTCCATCTTGTATATACACTTCCTTCAAAGTTCTATCTAGTGGGTCAAACATTGCATTCCAAGCAATGAGAAATTCAGATCCATCTCTTAATGATTTCAGTTCCTTCTTTCTCTGGTATTATTATCATTCTAGAGTCCCACAACTTTTCACCTTGGCACCATTTGTCACTATCCTATAACTTATGTGTATTTCTTTTTTTAGCCCACG